AAAAAAAAAAAAAAAAAAAAAAAAAAAAAAAAAAAAAAAAAAAAAAAAAAAAAAAAAAAAAAAAAAAATCTAATTTTATAAATATGTTACAATATTCACATCTTTTTTCCAATTATTGCTCATTGTCGAATATTATTCTCATAAGACGATTTTGTCCTCCCGAACAGTCTTACTCACTTTTAAAAATAAATAAAAAAGGGTGATATGATATTCATTTATTGAACAACATATACTTTGACCCCGAAAAAGAACCAATAATCATAAGGGTTCGCTCTCATGTGATTAAATTTATGGTCGACCAATAGAGTGAGAGAATATCAAATCATCAATTGTATGATTTCTAAAAGAAGAAAAAACAAGCAAACAAGTGGTCGTTATAAGAGTAATTGAGGATGTAGTTAAATTAAGGAATGAATGAAATAATACAAAGTTTCCACGATTCAGTTGAAAAGAAAGTAGTTTAGTTCAAGATAATCGGCTTACATTCAGAGGCTTAGCCTTGCGAATGTGGCCCATACTATTGACAAGATCTTTGCGAATGCAAACGGGGAACATATTAATTTTCTTTACAGCTTTCAGCCGCCACAGCACATATGGGAAGCTCAGCTGGTCCCTTGAAGTAAACCGCACCACCTCATTGAACCAGAGGCACATCAACAGATTCACCACTGGCGTATGCTCCCTAACAATGACAGAAGCCTCTGCCAGAGCTACAAAAACCATCAATAAATTGCACAACTCAGAATCTATGGAGTCATTCAAATCCATTAGCAACTGTTTGCGTCTCATTACATCGATGGAGGAAAGAATATGATTCAGAGAGGGTTAAATGGTTCGAGGCCTATTGAATCTGAATGGAAAACATGGGGCCAATCTTATCATTACCCTTTTTTGTCAAAACATAAGAAATTGTTTTCCATAATCAAGGAACTGTTCTTAAGTTAAGATGCAGCCATTTCAAAAGAAAAAAAAGAAGACATTCAGTCATGATTTCAAAGAAAAAAGACATTTAATCATAATAAAAGCTATTTAATTATGAAGAGCAAAAGTGTAGAGTTCGTAATACCTTTATGTCCATTAAACCTCTTGTCATCTGGGAAGTGATCATGACGGTACTGTGTAATCTGCACTTCAACTTCTTCCGGGGTGGCCTTATGTTTCTTGACGACAGCTCCAGCCTCATCATAGACACTACTACGAGCTCCATGCTGTGATATTGCAAGTTCAGAATCTGAACGCCAAAGAAGAGCTTCAAATACTCCTAATGGATCCCTCCGGAATTGAGACTTCGAATCTACCCAAATCGAGTACTTGACGTTAGGGAAGAGACGATGACCCAACATCTGACAAGCAGCACCACATGATATAATAATCCTTACAGTCAAGTCTATGAATGTCACAAAATGAAGAGATAATTTGTAAATCACAATTTCCAGTAATTGGATTAAACTATATCACTATGCAGATAATTAACCGAAGAGAGAATGAGTCATTTGATCCGAACATGATAAAATATGTTGTATAAGCAATCCAGTCATGTAGCATAGAAATCTGAATTTTGCATGTTTAAATAATATCCTCTGTTTTTCGATTCGCTACTTAATAGCAAAACTCAGTGTAACAGTCTAAACTCACTGCTAATAGATATTGTCCACTTTTGATCGTTACATATCGCCGTCAGTCTCACGGTTTTAAAACACATCTGCTAGGGAGAAGTTTCCATACCCTTATAAGGAATGTTTCGTTTCTTTCTCCAACCAATGTGGGATCTTACAATCCACCCTTGGAGGCCTAGCATCCTTTCTGGCACACCGCCTAGTGTCTGGCTCTGATACTATTTGTAACAGCCCAAGCCCACCGTTAGTAGATACTGTCCACTTTGGCCCGTTACGTATCGTTGTCAACCTCACGGTTTTAAAACACGTCTACTAGGGAGAAGTTTCCATACTCTTATAAGAAATGTTTCGTTCTCCTTCTCCAACCAATGTAGAATCTCACACTCAGTGTGGTCTAATTCATCATACTTGTGACATCAAATGTTCATACGGGTTATTACTCTAGATGTTGAAAGAAGTATTTTCATCTCGTATTAAGCCAAATAAAAAAAACAAAACATTGACAACAGTTAGTGAAAACAAAAACGATATGCTGGTTGCAATCATAAATCCAGCAAAAGACAAAGCAACAGATGGTAGCATACAACAGTTTTCATGTATCATACAACTAAGAGAAATCTGATTGTCTAATAAATTTCATTATACAACTTATTACCTTGGGGATTTTTCCATTCAATCTTTGGTCAGTGAAAGGAAGATCCCTCACAACTATAACACGCCACTTTCCAATAAATCCATCCTCACCAATAACATGGCCCACTAACTCTTGTGCACTTAAAGTGATTTCATCCCAAAATGCAACATAGCAAACCTGCATCGGTTAAATATGAACACCCTCACTAAATGCATTCTTGGTAGGAGAACATATATAACTAAGAAGCACAATAAGCAATTCAAAAGTAATAGATAACAACCTTGCGAAGTGATGCCTCTGACATTCCAATCGGTTGATAAAGATCATCTCCACCGCCAAATGCACATGTTGACACCACAAGGGAGCATTTGTGCATATAATTTCTATCTTCATTAGAAATTCTGAAACCCCCATTATCACAGTAAAAACCGCAGTGTACCTCAACAGTTCTATTCGCCTGTACAGACGAATTTCTAGAGCTTGAGGAAGGGGCCAACAGATAAGTTGTAAACTTAGAAAACCAATTGCTATTCAAGAAAGGGGAGATTTCATGGGCGTCTGGGAAGCAAGGAAATTAGTGAGAAGTTGATCATAACCTGAAAACTTTCTTCTCTCTGGTTGAGAGTCTGGTATCCAGTAAACAGATTAAATCTTGTTCCATTCATGCTCTGTTGGAACAAGGAAGCTTTATCTACTAACAATGAACTGTCATTATCAGTTATGTAGTGCACATCAATCTCTGGAACTGGCGAACTGTCGCGTACAGGAATATCCAATTGCTCAAGTTCTTTTGGTGGAAGAAGTTTCAAGCAACCTAATACAACCCAAAAATGTAGGTCGACTTTAGTTCTTGTCCATCCCAAACATCAAGATAAGTTAAGATTTTATCCATTCAAAGTGCCCAAGGAAAGATGATTTTCCAGCGAGAAACTAAATCAAGTAACCGGGCCTGCACTAAGGAATTGATAAACATATGCATTTCAGACCCTGCAGCTTCCTCATCTTTCAACGTAGAAAAATTACAATCATGACCAGAAAAGCAGCCTAATGTAAGATCAAGACCTATTCTCATCACAAGAGTTTGTAGATCCTCTCTAAAAGATAAATCAAACGAATCACAGTGAATAATAAAGTTCTTACAAGGTCGTTGCTAACTTACGTTCTCTTACTCCGGCGACCTTCCGAGTAACAGGATCGAGTTTATTCAGATTCCCGTCTGGTTTACTGTCTAAATCCGACTTCTTCTCAGTTTCGATTACCGGCTCGTCCATCGTTGGTCTCGTCGAGCCAGCAACTTCCGATTTCGTCTCCAGCCTTGATTTCCGACCAATTCTCGTTGCCTCAAACAGAAGCAAACTCAAAGCAAGAAGGAAGAAAACAACCACCCAATACTTCAAAATTATTCTAAAAACTCGACGAGCCAACTCATTCTTGTCTCGATTCCCTGGTTTTTTTCGCTTCCTCCGAGCTCGAACACGCATCCTTTCCAAGTCGTCCAACTCATTGTCAGAAACCGAGATTGATACACTGTTGCTGCTTTTCGACATCGAAGATGAGAGTGATAGAGATTCAAGTCGACAAAAATTGTAGTAACAGAAAACAGATCGCTGACTCGCTACAAGATTTTTTCGTGTAATTGAGAAAATTCAGATTTAGGGCTTCTGATCTCAAACATATAGAGGTTCCTTTACACCAGCTTCAGGAACTCCTACCAAACTCAATCTAAAGACCGTGAAATACCCACATTACAAGAACGAGAACGCCTAATGCCACTCTTCCATTAAAGCAGACCAAGAACCAGCACTGTGCGCGCAGCTTTCGATTGTCGTCGACGCGGTAGATTTCATTTCACATTTTTATGTCTTCATTTTATTCCATTTTTTAACACACAATTATATTGAAAACATAATATTTCAAGCCATAACTTTTTTTTTTTTTTTTTTTTTTGT